CCATCTAACCACTAAATTTCTGCTTCTAATTGATAAAAAGAGAAAGGTTTTGGTTCAGTTTCTATTTCCCCCAAGAAGTAACAATTACTAAAATAATAACCACATCAAGTTTCATTTCATGCAACAGAATTTCCATGGGTTGCAGAGAACTGAAAAGTTTTTATAGTTGGAGAAGGACTCTCAGGTGGTGAGTGTGTAGGTAGAATACATCAAAAGGACCAGAGAGGGGAACTGTGAAGTGCATCATTCAAAATGTAGGCTGAAAGTCTACAGATCTCTATACAACAATGAGCAGAGCACTCATTTGTCACAAACTGATGAAAGTCATTCAGAAGTCACTCCTTTCTACCTATGAAATGTTTATATTTGGGGTTCCCTTAAATCCTAGTATTTATTATCTGAAGATCTGCATTTACAAAGTTTTGAAGAAAGGCAGAAGTTTCAGAGTATGGGAAGATACACTAAAAAAGGCATGATTTAAAAATTAGCTCCCACTCAAATATCTCTCCTAATTTATCATCAGTTTAACCTTACCCATTCAGTCAACATTCAGTCTCATAAACATCCCAGTTATATATAGTAAATGTAGATATACTTTACCAAAATTCAAGCAATTAGAGCTCAGACACTGAAGAGATACACTAAATTTTAACAAAAAAATTCCCCAATATCCAAACTCTTCATATTTTTCATCCAAAACTTGAGACCCAACAGAGCAGACCATATCACATTACTCTCTATCCAAACGTTTGCTACCCAAACTCAGGAACCACATAGATTTAGAGGACAGAAAATACTCGTACACTGCAATCTCAGAAAAAACTGCAAGATTTCATCGTGAATTAGTGATGTTGGAGAACTGCTTGAATTATACATGCAAAGCAAGACCTGGCAAACAAAATAGTTGTGAAAAACCAACAACTTGATAGACATCAAGGAAGATGATTTGTTTATCAAAGGATCAAAGAAGACACTTAGCAAACAATGAAGTCTTTGGCTATTTTTGCAAAATAATCCCTATAATTGTGCTATACGGGTCAATCATTAAGTACAGGATACTATAGGAGGTCATTATCAAGTTATGACAAAACTTACTAGAAAATACTATGTTCAAACAATAACACGTGAATTCTTTTTTTTTTTTTTTTAAGCTGAGCCATCCTGCCACCGGTTGGCAGTTCAGCGGCTGCTCAGCTCGGGCCAGGAATCAAACCGCTGTTGCTCAGCGCTCAAACTCTTGCGTGAGCTCTTAACCAACTGAGCCACTCGGCCGGCCCAGAATTATTCTTGTTGTTAACTAAAGCTTGTTGGGGTGACAACAGTTAGTAAAGTTACATAGGTTTTAAGTGTCCAGTTCTCTAATTGTACGCTTGAATTATTCTTTATTCACTCTAACAATTACCAAATAGAAAAAATTATTACAGACTAAATTATATTGAATAGATAAAAGAAGTCTTTACATAACTTGTTTCTTTTATTAAGGTAAAGTCTCAATCAATTCTATCCCCCACACAATTTTAGTACAACATGCCACCATTACTCATAAACTTCAAAGATAAAAACATGGTAAGTAAATGACCAGGATAGGGTTAATTTTTAAAACCTATAGATTAAAAGTTAATGAAAAACAGAGTAACTGACATTTAGTATTCTGAAAACTCA